CTTACTTACTACCCTACTTATTTACGCCTATTACAACTCGTGGAGGAGCATAGGCTGCCTACCAGCATTATCCATCCAACTCTGTCCTGGAAAGTCCTTTCCAGTTGCCATTCGCTCTTTCGGTGTCTGCTTCTGATTCTCGACGCAGCGTATTCTTTGGCTTTCTGTCTTTCCATTTCCCTTCAGGATTCCAAGTTAGCACTTGCTTCATGATGAAGTTTGATCATTTCCGTTACCACACGTGATCAGGTGCGGATGCCTGACCGAGCGCCTTCAGCTAGATGAGTCCACTAAAACATATGGTCAGCATCCAATGTCTAAAACGTACAGGGCTATTTATTTTGGGGATTTATTTACCGCTACAATATAAATATATGTCTTAAAACATTTTTGACAGACTATTATATTCGGTTAAACTAAATTTATTTTGTTTCAGAAATTTTTCATTACGGATAAGTAAATATGATGGCTCATTAAACTGAAATTAATCTGTTACTCAATGAGATGTCTCAGAGGGGTTGATTTGAACCATCGTAAAGCAATGAATCGTAAAAAATTACATCACACAGCTCCTTCTACATGTATTAAGCCAGTGTGCTCTCATCAAGGAAATTAGATATATGATAATTGTAAGAGCGTTTTCGAATATTCGTGAGTGAATGTGTGGAATTCCCTCTACCTACACGTTTCATGTAAGGTTAGCACATTGTCTCACTCTTAAACGTAGAGTAGTTATTTGTGACACCTATGTATTCATCTTCGGTTTATACTTAGGATACGGACAAAACTGCCACTCATTCTACTTACAGGTTTGGTGTTTTGTGTATTGTTTCATTGATTATTCTTTAGACGCTATGTAAATTTTGTTTTAATTTCCAATGAATTGTGCTGAGGCTACATTAATTCCTTTGGCTTTTTTTGTGCCGATTGAATTAAACTACCGTGTAACGGTAATATAACCATGTTAAGTGGTTAGAGGTGCACCTTGTATTCAACTTGAAACTAATTTATATGACTTACAGGATTAGTTACTTTAGGTTCTCTAGATTTTGATTTCACTACACTTTCTTAGATAATTCTCTCCTGGGTATATCATGATGATGTCATTCTTTGATCTGTTTTGTATAGTTCATGTCCATAATCTTTATGGTTGGAACCTTACCTAATCGAGCTATCATGTTTCGGATTTATCTGTAGAAAAGAACAGATGTCCAAGATTTTACTAGAGGCCGAGAGAATTCAAACAGCATCAGTTTGAACACAATAATACTACGGATTAATATTGGTCAAATGGGGATTCACTCACTTGGCATACATATCGTCATTTTCGCAGGACCGGAATCGTGTTATTACATGAAGAATTAAAATCAAATTAACCAGTTGATTTACAATAGCTTATTACTAGCCTATCGAATATCAGATATCTTTGCAGTGGCTATACACAGCTACACCATATGTAAGTGTTCGAAAATGCAAATCATAAGTGTCTTAGATATCAGTCGTTCGCGTATCGTTTAAAAATTTTATAATGACGATAACGATTAAAAGTCTGCTGCCCTACTCATTACCAACCACTTCTGTCGTCAAATTGTAGTGCTCAAGCTGTCAATGATTGTTCTTCCGTAAAGAGGTTCAGTTTTCTGATGCCTACTCTTCCACGCTGGTCTATTCATTTGCGCCGCATCTCACTGACTAGTGCGTACATATATAGTGGCTAAGGTGAAACACATCGGATACATACTGTCACGGAAAGAAAACGCTGAAAATCCCTCCACAGCATGATTAACGCACAGGATTGGTGGTAGTTTGTAATTATTATCAATATGACAATATCCTCTGTGGTCGACTATCTTCTGATTCAGCACTCGAAGGATAAGTTTCCGGACGCTGTTCTGGATACCGGTTCTCAGTTGCTAGCACAAAAGCCGTTAAGGTTCCTTCATCAGTGTTCGGTAGGGAATTACTGTAAGCAGTCAAGCCTCTCATTGTTCTTACGAAGAAAGGTGAGCTTTTCTCTGTATTTCGACTTTGTGAATTCGTTTTTAATACCAGTGGTTAACTTCATAATGACTGAATAATAATAATGCCAAGTAAAAGTTAATCCTGTTTACTTCATGTGAAGTCTGTAGAGAAATGACGTTTATACAACGTAGATAACAAAAGTGTGCCAAGTATTGTGTTTCGGATACGCACATTGGACGTACTAATGATGAACGTCAGGCAAGCAAATGGAAGATGCGTCAATTACATGAAGTTTTTGAGGTCAGTAGTTTACGAACTCAGATAATAATGGTATGACAGCTATTATAAGTCATGTAAAAAGTACAGGAAGAGGATAGACATTATTACTACCATACATACATATATAAGGCCCGTTTAGGTCCATTAGTACGCAACTGACAAGGCAAAATCTGTGTTTGATTTAACAAATGTAAAAATGGAAATAGTAATTCGTTAGAAAGTCAGAAAATATCATATGTGTGTAGCATTGTTGACACGTACAATGCTGCCCTGTAAAAAATTCGATATTGATTTAGAAACACCCGTTTTCGAAAATTACCTATTCGGATAAGGCACCCGAAACCTTGAGCTATCAACGTTTGGTCTCTACTTTCAGACCGCCTTGATATTATACTTGTATTGTTGTTCAATGTAATTGGGTTTCGTGCGATTACTGAGTCGTCGGCTTAGAGTTATATAACTCTGCTTTCCCAGAACCTAACGTATCTTCAGACTGAACACTAACTTCTACGCTCAAGGGGTATTCTGAGAACGTGTGTAAATATGCAACGAAGAGAGAAATACTTTGAGTACATTTAGTGACACTTTAGGGATACCTGTGAGAATGTAAGTAAAAATGTCAGCATGTGGTTAGTAGCAACTCAATAATTGTATAAAAATATAACTTTAATTTGTGGCACGAAATTGCCTGCAAAAAAACATATTACAATGAATAACAGTGAATACTGTGAAAGCCAGGTGTAATAGATCTTTCATAGTTCATTTATCCTTTAGTATAATAGGGCACGTACGGTAGGCTGTGTTCAGTAATGATTTGTGATGTCGAAGAAACGGAAGTATAACGAATATATATGAGCATGTTTCAAAGAGTCTCAAGTTCAGTGCTTAGAAATTATTGCAGTGAAAATGTTATTAGGTTTAAATATGAGAAAATTTGGGAATCTGGTTTATGCATATGAACGTGACGAATGAACATTAGGTATATATCAAAAACGTAAGTTATTACAAAGTGAATTATCGATTAAACAAGATGGTGCAATGAGAAAGGAAATCACTTCCGTATCACTAATTCATATCTTCAGTTTGCAATCCCTCAACAATCAAAATGTCTGAAAGCAATATCTGCAACACGTACTGCAATCAACACATATTCAGTGGAAATCATCATCGAATTCCGATGCCACATCTCATCGGAAATTTATAACATGTGAAACGTACACTAAAAAATGGAAGTCGAACCACGACTCATTCCCTAAACTACCATATGCATGGGGACGATCTCATGTTCACATGCAATCGTGTTGATCGATTTCACTCTCCATTCATCCACGAGGACACCAATTCACTTCAACACGTCTCATTCGATCGACATCACTGAGAGAAAGGTGGTTGGTGAGGCTCTCAAATCGTATCACGATCCATGCATCGAACTAGACGAGTCAGTCAGCAGTCATCAACGCAAACTACACATGTTATCACCTGATATCGACTACAAACGACAGAACACGTCACTCCACACAAATGCTCGTCTCACACACTATGCAGCCTTAATTACAATATAACAAAATCTGATTACAATTTCGTGGAATTATCAGACGTTGTTGTATTTGTTCCAGAAGCATGAGTCACTCGTGAATCATAATCCCACAAACCGATAGTCATTTCCACTCACAGTGTAAAAACGCTGTGAGTTAAAATCAATCACAAATTTTTCCAATACCACCATCTTGTGTAGACACCACCCTTTAGCCCTACTCATTCATAACTGATTACACAACTGATTATTATTCTGCACAAATATAATCCCACATTCATAAGACAAATTGACATTTATGAGTGGTTGGTTTAATCACCATGACTTATGTTGATTAACCTGATCCCATGGTGTGTATATATATGTGAAAGCCAACAAGTGATTGTTCGTAAGTCAGACAGACAGTGAAATTCTGGTCTCATCGAAATGTCTTCTAATTCCGAGTTTTCATCAGTCGTGTTGTTGCTGTGTTCACTTGTCTGTTGCTGTGTTCATGCGCAGTTGGATGATGCGATGAGGAATGAGTTGTTAGCTCTTCACAATAAGGCAAGACAATCTGTTCAATATGGTCAGCTTGTTGGGCAACCGATAGCAGTCTCCATAAAACCACTGGTAAGAAGAATGATTGTTTAACTTGAGTGTTCAGCGCAATTATGTTTTGATTGAGACAAATTGATTTCAGTGTACGTTTCAGCTGGTCTCACTGTGAACATGGTGTGATGATGCGAGAGAGAGAGAGAGAGAGAGAAGGAGGGAGGGAGAAGTTGTTCGGTTGATTGGTTGATTGTGGCTGACTGCAGGTAGCAGTTTCTTGGCCACTCAAATGAGGTTATTAGTGTAATGTGTTGTAGAGTAGATAGCTCACTGGTTGAAATCATTGTGTGATTGTAGACAGTGTTCTTAACCGTGCATTTGTTTGTTTTGAGTGAGTGTGTTTTCTGATGTGTATGTTTGTGAGAATGGTGCGTATAGGCGAACGAACTTCGTTCACATGGTTCGCGTGAATTCATCAGAGATGAAGAATTGTTCGCAGTTTCTGACTAACTAGTGGAAAAATAGAAATCTCCTAATTATATCACGTCGACGTGACGGCACTGATGACAACGAGTGACATTCGATACCACTTTATTCGCCTAATCGATTTTAAGTAAATAAAGCAATAATTACATTATTAATTGATTAATTAACCGTTTGATTTGCTCATTGATTAACCACATGTTTACAGAAATGGAATGTGGAATTGGAAGCGAAAGCACAAATTCTGTCTGATCAATGTCGTGTTGGACATGATACAAATGCTGACCGTAAAATACCGGCATTCCAATATGTTGGACAGAATTGGGCCGGTGCGAAAGACATAAACACGTAAGTGTCATGTGCATTGTGTTAAATATATGAATTTGTTCAACTCGTAGACTTGCAAGCATGTAGTCTGCATTCGCAGAAGTGTTATATCGATCTAATCGACATACGCCGTCATCAGATGCACACCTACTTCTTTTCAGACTGTTGCTTTTTAATCAATCTGTGAACGCATACTCGATGCAAACCAACTACGAAACGTCACTCCAAATACCACAAAGTTTTAGGAACACACATTTGTGAACCATGCCACCTGTCACTCCACACTCGACGATGTGGTTCGGAAGGTCTGTTTGTCAATGATAGATGAGTGAGGAAATATTGAGGACGATTGTGAGATGAACAGAAGTGATTAGTGTGAGACTCAACAAGTGGTTGCATCGGAATCTTGAACTGATTGTAACGAGTGTAACCACAGACCGATGTCACTCAGTCCAACTCATCGAAAATTCACTTCAACTAAACACTGCGATGATGTGGTTAGTGTGATGAGATAGGCTGGATCTCGCATCCACATGTTCACATGCTTGTCTAAGATGCACCCACATCTGTGTGCAATCGAGAAACTGTTAATAGTCAAATATCTCATTTACCATACATTACTTAATCAGATATTCACAGTGGATAGGCATCACCACAGTCAATCAGTGTGTGGTTTCTTCGTGATATTCATCGACGTTCACACCTACACCTGTGCAGTGAGATCCTTCTTCTCCCCCTCAATTATACATGTGATAATACTCTTGTGATTGACTGTTCATTTTTCCAAATGTTCGGATTCATGTTTCGATTGATTGCTATTGTTTGTTCATTTCTATCAAGCGGATTCCAATTATGGTTGGATGAATACAAGAATTACGACTTCTACACAAGAACATGTCGTATGGGTCAGTGTGGTCATTATACTCAGGTAAGCATTAGAACGATTACAAAGCATTCTTGTTAAAATAACTACTTCAGACAAAGTTGTATAGACACTGACTAGTGATATTGTGGTCGATTCATGAAACCGTCTAACATGGCTACGTGTAGTATCCAACTATCCGTTGTCACATACACACAAATTGGAAATGTTCCAGTCCTCGTTAGCACGCTTCTTGTCTGTGTTAGAATGGTCTACACTCTGCCCAACGAATCACGACTTCCACATCGTTGTGATCTTAGACTGTTGTTGATTTAAGTGAACGATTTATATGAATGTGTCCTCTTCCAATACACTATTCAATAGCTCACTGTCACTTGGTTCATTTCAGCTTGTCTGGGAAGACACTACGGATGTTGGATGTGGTGTCACGAACTGTCCGAATTTCCCATACGGACTCAGCATCGTGTGTAACTATGGTCCTGGGTAAGTCATTAATAAGATCACTTTCATTTACTTAAATGATTTGTGACCTGCTCCTCCATTATGACTCCGTTCTGCATACTTTCTTCATGATCGGATGTTGTTTGTAGTGGAGTTCAATTTGGCTGTTGTTTACCAATATTACTGATACGCTCTATTTTATATTCATCAGCTCAAACTCTCGTTGCTATTTAAATAAACACTTGCTATCCTGAAAATTATTGCCTGGCATTTTTAACTCCGTGACAACTAAGGCCTACTTTTGTGACGATCAATATAGATCACTGTTGAATTTTTAATTCAACATAAATCACATTTCATCTGTTGTAGTTACGTTTGCCATGTAACCGAATATTAACGGAATCGACGATGAATCAGTGATCATCAACAATGTAGTCATTGTGTTCTAAACCAACTCCTTTGAACATGAATTTCACTATATTTTACAAATACTTGAATTCGCATGAATATCAGAATGGATTTTTCATTACTAGTATTACACAGACTTTGACATGATGAATATCTCCTTTCAAATTTCTACGTGTAATCTGACTACTGATATCCACAAGTAGTTTCATGAATATCATCAACAATGGTTGATTTCCATTGTAAGGAATGTGAATACGTGTCGATGTTCTAACTTCAATGATAATAATAAATGAACATGCGAAAATCACTGATGAACTTTGTCTCATCGTCTTAATGAACTTATTAACGTTTTATATTCTTACCCGATTTCAGCGGCAATTACGTTGGACGCTCACCGTACAGAACAGCATGAGGAATAGTTGGCTTCCGAAATCAATCATTTTTGCAACTGACTTTTTTAACATTTCACATACCATATCATATCACTACTGTACACCGGTGAAAATCGCCTAATTTGTATATTTGTATTGAAGTGAAATTATCTTTTCCAAATAATAATCCATCAAATGTCAGGCTAAGTCTTGATGTCTTTTGATTTCCGCGTTTTATTCCTGTGTGACTGGAGTGTCCGTTGAGGAATGGGATATTGCAATAATTAATTCGTTGCCAGTCGTGTGTCAGCTTACTACCGAAATCCGTTTCTGTCTACACACTAGTCAGTAGCATGACTTGCTTTCACACACAGAAGCTTTACTCCTGCATGCTGAAATTCTAGAGTATGATAACTTCTCTATCACTACAAAACGATGAGTTTACAAAATACGCGTAACTCAAATAAATTTAGTTTGCTTCTGAATTTTCATTTGTTTTAAGGAAATAGTGATCAATGTCATGTGTGTCAGGTCCGACCCACTGATCAATCAATTGTAAATACATCTCAGTGCTACAGGACGTCAGTCGTAGTCCGGATAACTCAGTGTTAAAGTCTCCGATTGTGATACTGGGTGATACAGGATCGAGTCTGTCAGGGAGCATCAATTCCCATAAGATGACAGTTACACTTTGCTGACAAGTGCCAAGTAGCACGAAACCTAGATCCAGGGTTTCCCGTCGACTATCTTCAATCACTATCCTATCTCAACATAGTTAGATTGATGTCTTTTATTTATCATTATACATGAACAGTGTATTTCAAAATATCTTCAGAGTTCCTGTCAGCTTAGGATAATCACATTTTAGATTGGATAGGACACTGATGACATAGATAACTTAAGTGAAAAATTGTTTTTACTTTCAATGAAATCTGAAAGTAAACAAGTTGAGAGAATTAGTGTTTTTTATGATTAGTGCAGTTTATTACTAGTGATGTTTTTAAAACGGCTTTGCACCTTATCGACGTGAAGGTTAAAACGTTTACTGACTAAATTTCATCAATAGTAACTGAACTTTGACAAAATTTTGTGATCGTCAGTAAATTCTTTACAATATACGATTGTGCATATTTTAGTAAAAGATGTCTCAACTTTGGGATTCAGATACCTCCTGTTAATCAAACCGAAATAGGAAAAAAACTCATGTCGTGCTTTTTATCACTAGTAACGGTCCAGATTCACTATAGCACACTGCCTTACAAACTCTGTAGTTTTATAATCAGTAGTATACAAACTACTGTCTGTTAAGCATTGCTTTTAAACACATCAAATTAGAGAGGTTGTATTTTCAAACTACCATCAATTGTTTATCAACAAGTTTATACGTCAGCATTAACTAACTCGGGTTTAGTCTGTAGTGTCGTTAGTATGTTAAGCCCATATAGCTTGTTCTAGCTAGCTTCTGGACAGACCAATTTATCCATTCTTCTGGAGTCACGTTTTGACCTTGTTAATTATTCACTTATCAACCCTTACTGTTTTTATAATATGGGCGTATGCTTGTGTACATCTTACTCTATTAATCACATATCTGTAGCTTATTTTTGTGTGACTATAAATATTGATTAACTCTTGATTAATTGGAGTTGGCTTACACGCCTCCTCCACCGCGAATCATTTTGTTTCACTGTCTTCTCTTTTCGCTTCGTTCCTTTGATTATCTGTCCAGATCAATCAGTGTACAAAATATATATATATTCGAAATTCATTCTCGAATGTGACTTGTTTAGTTCCGTTATCGACTAACGCGATAATTTTATACGAGGATTAGTGATATGTATATCTCATTAGCAATCAGAAACGATCAAACTGGATTCAGTTCCCATGCCACAAAAAGTCAACGGATTACTGCCAATAAATTGTAATCAAAATATTCTGAGTTTTGTTGACATTCATTTTCACTTAGTTTATATTTTTTTAATCATGTCAATGATTAATTTAAGTTAATTCACGATCTAAATTATCATAAGCGTGAAGCACCTAAGTGCAAATGATAATTATGATCTAGTATTTATCATTAAATAAACTTTGGCTAATTTGACTAAACAAGAAAATGTATTTTACGCAGATTTTTCATTCGAACTATTCATAAAATCAATGTTTTAACTATTCAATATGTACAAAGTAGAATGAAATGAGTAAAGATTAATCACTGCCTTTTTGAAGTATTTCGTGAAATATATGTGCTACACATAAAATGATGCTGCTTCAAAAAGAAGAACAAATTTGATATTCTCCAAATTATCATAATCAGTTCACTACTAACTTTATGAGATATCGAACATTTTATGTTATTTAACAGTAAGAATTCCAGTTGACAAAGTTTGACTCAATGTTATTGTTGGAGACGTTAGATCCCCAGAACTCACTTGGGAAAGGACCTGTAGTAGTTTTATTTAGAAAATCTGAATTTCTTTGTTTTCGCACCAAAGGTGCTCTTGTCACCTTCATGTAGTATTTCCCACTGGGAAGTATCTTAAATGATATTGGCCCGTTTCGTCTTTTAGTATGCTATTTAGTAACTCTCCTCAAGGACGGTTTTGTACTGTATATATACGTTTTGAATAATTTTTGTCGTTATCGCTCGTTTCTGGCTGTTTGCAGAATATACTTGCCCATTCCAAGCTTGGACTTCTCCCTCTAGTTAGTGGGGATGGGACGCATCAAATAGCTAGCTTACTGGTCTTTGGTCACTGAGTCTTTGTTCTCGTTCGCAGATTAAGTGAACTCATGATAGCTTCAACCCTAGCAGTTATTGATCATAAATCCAAGTTCAAGAAAGCAACAATAATATGTTAGTAAAGTTCGTAGGGGTTGGTAACATATCAAGCTCATGTAGATTATTCTAGCTTCTGAACAGGCCAATTTATTCATTCTTCTCAAGCTACATTTTTACCTTGTCACTTATTCGCTTATTAACTCTGACTGCTTTTTACATGATTGTATATGTGTAAATTACTTACTTTACTTATTACGTGTATGTAACTTATTTTCGTTTGACTATAAATATCGAATCATGCTTGATTAAATCGAGTTGGCTCATACGCCATCTTTACTGTACGTCACTTTCCATCGTTTCGTTTCGTTCTCTCCCCTCCGTTTACTTTGCTTCTTCTCCCTGATTGTCTGTCTAGAAGGAAGATTGTATGAAATATATGTATTCGGAATTCATTCTCGCATATGTATATTAACTACTATTTCAAGTGTAATGTTTAGTTTTGTACGAACATTAAGGTTCTGAGAAGTTCTATTCATTTCAGATGACTAAATGATCAAAAATTACGATATTTTTCTCATGTAACTTGTGTTACTGTCAGTTTTAGTTGTTTGTTTCTATTTCATTGTAGTATGACTGTAATAATTTAAATCATTCTAGCAATATGAATAATTGAACCCATTTAAGAGCAGAAATGTTGAATTCCATTTGTGAAAACTGTTTATGAAATCGTTGCGAAATTTGAAAGTATTGGTTTTAATATGGATAGTTTGTTAATAAAGTAGATGAACAATAAAAGTCTACTTATCAGTACAGGGTTGTGGAGATTGTTGAGTTCGATTGAAATCATGGAGTGATATAAATTAGATCATCATAGAAAATCTGGAAGCACATGATAGTCGTTCTGGTGATAAACCGTGGAGCTCAGTCCTTTTAGGGTGTCAGGTAGCCACTCACCGAAAACGATAGGTGATAGATTGAAGTTAAACGTTAGAACCATTAGATACCAATTCTGTGGTCTAGAGGTTAGGCGTTAGAATGTAGTGACC